TTAATCCCATTCGCTAAAACCTGGTCAAGTGACTACTAGCCAGAAAGCAGGTAGAAATGTGGTCACAGGTCCAGCAATTCTGTTCCTGGGAGACAAAGCAGCACAGACACAGGGAGACAGCTTGCAGTCTCTGCCGTGGTGTGCTAGGCTCTGCCTGGAACGTCCCAACTGCCTTCACTCAAAATACACTTGGCAAAGTGTAGTTCCCCCTCATAGGTCCGTGATTCGTTCCCCTGCACAGCCTTCCCTCTCTGTTTTCCTTCCATCCTGACACATTCTTGTTATTCATTTAACAAGCTTTAAGTGCCTTGATGTGTCCGACATTACCCCGGGAACTGGGAATTAAGCAGTGGTGAAAACAGATTGCTTTGCTTTAGAAATGTACTGTACCATAATTATTTATTTCTGCTTCTAAGGTTATTCTGTTAAGATAAAAGAAGGGAGAGATTGACATGCAACTGCAAGCATTTTTCTACCTTAGCTAAACATATCAATCTATTATCCAGAATTATGCTTAAAAAGAGAAAAGGTTTAAAGTTGCATTACATTTTTGCCTACTAATTGTGTTATATGTGGTTTCTAAAGGCATGTCATTTTTTTTTTAGGGGTCCATGTATCTTGAAAAAAATCATTTGGAGGTTGTCTGGATAGATCATTTCAGACTAGATTTTAAGCTTTGGGTCAGCTAGAGTGTTTGCTTAGGAGTGTGTGCTAGGTCTGTGTCAGAGCTCAAAGGAGAGTGCATCAGTGTTAACTCTTGGGCCTGTTGCAATAGTCTGGTAACTTTGCACATGCCAGCATGTCATATGGGCGCCAGGTCATACCCTGGCGGCCCTACTTCCCATCCAGCTCCCTGCTTGTGGCCTGGGAAAGCAGTCGAGTATGGCCCGTGGGCTGGGAGACACAGAGGAAACTCCTGGCTCCTGCTTTTGGATTGGCTTCAGTCCCAGCCATTGCAGCCACTTGGGGCGTGAGTCGGTGGACGGAATATCTTCCTCTCTATCTCTCCTCTCTGTATATCTGCCTTTTCAATAAAAATAATTCTTTAAAAAAAGAAGTTTTAGCTCTTACTCTCGGTATTTTTTATTTTTGTAAAATAAAAACATAACAATCTTCTTTAAAAATAATAGCATCAAAATTCAGGCTATGAAAATAGTCTGGGAACAGGAATTTGGCACTGCAATTAAAACACTGCTTGGCACGTCTACATTGCATGTTGGCGTGCCTGGGTGCCAGGCTGCCTCTGCTCCTGATTCCCGCTGCTGGACAGCCCGGGAAGCAGCAGGTGGTGGCTCAAGTACTGGAATCCTTGCCACCCACACAGGAGACTCTGGTTGGGATTCTGGCTCCTGGCTTCAACATGACCCATCCCCGGCTCTTGCGCATATTAGAACAGAATCAGTGAATAGGGCATCTGTCTTTGTCTCTTCCTTTAGCTGCCTTAAAAAAAAAAGAAGAAGAAGAAGAAGCATTGCGTGACAGTGTAAGTGTTCAATAAATGTTCACTAATATTTTTTAAAACCCTGTTATGAATAAGAGTATGTTGGAGTATATGTGTATGCCTTTGTGGTAATGTTAAGTACAGTTTGCAGTTTCACTGTGTGAAAAAGATATAATTTAAACACTTTAGAGCATAGTGATATAGTTATAAAATGTCATGTTTCATTTTAGTGGTGACAGATAAGTTCCCATCAGGGTCTACACAGTCCTTTCCTAAAATTTCATGGGTCCCACCAGGGCTTTCTTTTTTCATGTTCATTTGACGACTGTAACAGCACACATGCACACGCATACACTCTCAAGCAGTGAACATTGGAGTGGTAACTGAGAACTGAATCCTGAAGAAAAGAAAGGCATTGTGTGCAGCTTAGAGCAGCCTCGGAATTCTAACATATATTCTTGCTCTTTGAACCTCGACTCCCACACACTAACAGATGCTGTCTGAAACACACGCCCCACACTCACGCCCACGCGTTCAGGCTCTCAGCAGCCCCCCACACAGCGTGCTGACACATTTGTTCTACCTCCTTCCTGGATGGGGGAGACAGCCTAGAGGAGAAATGAAAGTCAGAAGCCCGGGTCACTATGTCTAAATGTGTGGTCTGCGCACACTCTGTAGGAAAAAGATAGGGAGGAAGCAAACAAGGTTAATTTATTTCTGAAAATTTTATTTTCAGTAAAACCAATGAAAACACAGATAATCCTTGCAGGCTAGATTCTTTAGAGTTGTCAAGTATGACTCCGAGTTTAACCTGCTTCATTTTTTATTATAGTATGTCTGAAAAAAAACAGTACATTGATGATCTCTTGATAAAAGGATACAAGACAGTGCTGTGAAATTAGCTTTAATGGTTCTAAAAGGAAGATAACAGTTTAACTTTTTTTTTTTTTAGTATGTGGGAGACCCTAAGTATAACTCACTCTGGGGTCTGCCCTGGAGCCTGTGCCTTTCTGAATCTGCACCATATTTAGAGTTAGGAGGATACAATTAGATTTTTAAAAATATGAAATATGAAGCACATGAATATGGAAAATCATCAATGTTACTGCCAAAAATATACAAGCCAAGAATTGCGGCAAATCCAAAATTACCAAGTGAAATAGATGTTGTGAAGCTTCCCTGAAAGCCCCCACCGGTGATAGTAAGTAACTGCTGTTGACAACTTGCATTTTATATGATAACAGTTTGAAAAAAAAAATGTTTTTTTGAGTTCTGAAGGGCAATACAACAGGGGAAATTGGGACTAGGAGGATGTATGGGTTCTCCACTAACGAACAGAAAGCTCAGCTCTCGCACAGGCCAGTACTCTAAGGAATACTGAGTGGGGCCCTTCCTTAGGTCACTGATGGCAGAAAATCTTACCAGGAAATTAATTGGCTCCTTTATATCAAAGGCCCATTTGTTGGCACCAGGCACCACACATGGCTGGAACTGCAGTAAACAAGTTAATAGTGGCTGGATTACATTCTCTCTCTAAGATTTTAATTTATTGGAAAGACAGAGGGACACACAGAGTCATAGATTAGAGAGAGAGAGAGAAAGAAATAAATAGGCAGGCAGATGGATGCAGAAGCCTTCCATCTACTAGTTCAGCCTGCAACAGCCAGAACTGTCAAGTCAAAGCCAGGAGCCAGGAACTCCATCCAGGTCTCCCAGGTCTCCCATATGGGTGGCAGGAATCATCTGCTGCCTCCCAGGATGTATTTTAAGAGATCTGGTTTGGAAGTAGGCTCAAGCTGGCATTCCAATAATGGAATATGATGGCCTCAGCAAAGGTTAGCTTGCTGCACCACAGTCCCCTGCCCAGGTTGTCCGTCTTTTAATTCTGAGTTCTGCGTGACTTCAGCATTAAGTTCCACATGGTGGCACCCCAGTCCTTCCACTGTCTCAGGCTTAAGATCAACAGGTGAGAGCAAATCTCCTTCTGCAAGAACTCAGTTACCAAACTGAGTCTTTCGCTCCCTTAAGCCAATCACTGTGGCTGAAGGCAGGGATCCACTGACTGGCTTATGCTTTAGGGATATTTACACCTCCACGTGAGGATAGAGATGTGGTCTTACACAAACATATGGACTGAAAGTGAGTGAGATGAGGAAGGATTAAAATGAATATCAAAATTGGGAGGGGCTGGCACCATGAGGTAATAGGTTAAGCCTCCACCTGTGGCACCAACATCCAATGTGGGTACTGGTTTGAGTCCTGGCTGCTCCAGTTCCAACCAAAGCTCCTGCTAAAGTGCCAGGGAAAGCAGTTGAAGGTGGCCTGAGTCCTTGGGCCTCTGCACCTACGTGGGATACCTAGAAGAAGATCGTGGCTCCTGGCTTTGGACTGGGTATTGTGGCCATTTGGAGAATAAACTAGGTATTGAAAGAGCTCTCTCTTCCTTTCTCCCTCTGTTACCATCCCCCCTTTCTCTCTCCCTCTCTCTGTCCCTTTCTTTCTCTGTAACGCTAACCTTCAAATATAAATAAATATTAAAAAAAAAAAAAGAAAAAGAAAATTGGGAGCTTTGGCTGGAACATGGATACTGGATGGCGTCTTAACTCATCTTCTGCTGCCATTACAGAATGTGAAAGACTGTGGGGATTAAGGTACCAACACATGAGCTTGAGGGGAACACATGTTAGTTGTAGCAAATGGGATTCTGGACTATGATTTATATATGTTCGTTACAGAGATAATGTCAGTTATGGCCAAGGATGTATAGTTTTGCTGGATCTTTTAGCACCAGTCAGCTTAAATTAAAGGTGATAATAAAAACACAGTGAGTTTTACCATTTACAAGGCAGGTGGGGCCCGGCGGCATGGGCTAGTGGCTAAGTCTTCGCCTTGAACACGCCCGGGATCCCATATGGACGCCGGTTCTAATCCCGGCAGCTGCACTTCCCATCCAGCTCCCTGCTTGTGGCCTGGGAAAGCAGTCGAGGATGGCCCAAAGCTTTGGGACCCTGCACCTGTGTGGGATACCTGGAAGAAGTTCCTGGATCCTGGCTTCGGATCGGCATAGCATCAGCCATTGCGCTCACTTGGGGAGTGAATCATCAGATGGAAGATCTTCTTCTCTGTCTCTCCTCCTCTCTGTAGATCTGACTTTCCAATAAATAAATAAATCTTAAAAAAAAAAAAAACAAGGCAGGTGTACTACTAGATCTTCAGTCTCTTTTGGTTGTACATTGATAGTGGTACCACTCACCACTTAAGTCTTTTGGTTTGATGGTGTGTCTCTAAAATTTATATGTTGAAATATTCTCCCTCAAGATGATTTTTTTTAGGAGATGGGGCCTTTGGAAGATGATGAGGTCGTGGGGCCAGAGGTCTCCTGAATAGGATTGGTGCCATTATGAAAGAAAGCCCGAGGTGATGTGATGCCTTCCACTGGCTATGGATGCAACAAAAGGAAGGACATCCATCTGAGACAGTGTGCCCTCATCAGACCCTTTTAAGCTGGGACTCATAAATAAGAGAAACAGAAAGACTGAGAGAAACTGAAAACTACTTGCAGCCAAAGACTTTATTCCTCTCTTGGTCTAAGCTGGAGGAAACTGAAGATTGAGGCTGATGAGGCCAGTTCTGAGGCACCAGGAAAAGGAAGTGAAGGAGGTCAATGGGTATGAATGACTTCAAAGATCCAGTCTACATAGTGAGATACCTTAGTGTAGTGGCCCCTGTTGCCTTTCAGAACACACCCTTCTGACCAGGACAGGATCCCTTGGAGCTGATTTTGGCACAGGACTGGAGCAGCAGTGATTTCCTGTTAGAAAGAAGAAAGATGGGTCAGGCAGGTTGGGTGGAATAGAGATGATCTGGTGCCAAGTCCCTACCAGAGGAATGCAGAATAGAGATATCAGGTGATAAGGGCTGGGAGGAATGTCTGGTTGGCCCATCTCTTGCACTTGTCCTAGGCTATACTGGGTGCAGCCATGGAGAAATGCCAACAGGTGGGATTGTTCCATCCTGAAATCTGTGTTCATTCAAAACTGGGAGGAGGATGCTTACTCTTTTCTGGGCCACATTCATCTTGCTTAGAAGGCAGACAATTGGATTCTTTTGAAGGAGATATGTGAACCCAATACATGTCACACAGCAAGTTTAAGAAAGGCAGATGGAAAAAAATTACCGAACACAAGTGTGTGGTGCTCAGCGATGACCCAGCACAGAACACATTGTCTGAGGCCAGGCTAGAAGTTTGTCTGGAAGAGAAGTCTTCGCCGCAGTCTCTATTCGAGAGCCAAACAACAACTTGGCTTATCTGGATATTGGGATCTAGGTCTGAGCACACACATGAAAGACATTATTTCTCTTTGATCCTTTACAGAGTCAACTCCCTTTCTCGTTCCTTCCCTCCCTTTTTTGTGTTACTAATCTCACTATCACTCAAGAAAGGATAAAAATGACTAGGACTTAGAGAGGAGGGAAACAGATAATTAAAGAGAAAACAAGGTTTGCTTCCCATATAGTCATGCATACTTTCACTTCTGAGCACTTGCTGGTGAGAACAGCAGCAGCAGGGCGGCTCTAACCCTTTCTTCATCCAGAAAACCTTTCACCATCAACTGTGGGGTAGAGGTAGAGGACTGATGAGGCAAGGAGGGGTCAATGAGGCAAATAGCCACATTACACCTGAGTCCATGATGTTATCTCTTTGGGGTCAATTTTCACATCCATAAAATCGGAGATTACTATATGTGAGCTTTCAGGCCCCTTCTAGCTCTGCAGTTTTGCAGTAACACTGGGATGACAACAGTCTTTGAACTAACACCCCAAGAGTCTGTGTCCTAGTGGTCACTCACTGTATTCCTTCCATGTCCAGCCCCAACCAAAGACAGTACAGGTGGTCCCGGGTTTGTCATCTGTGGTATTAGGCAGAATGGCCAGCTTCTGCCCATCACTGGGCTTGAGGGGGCGTTGCAGCTTGATGAGCATGAGGTCATGTTCAACGGAGTCCTGGGTGAAATTGGGGTGTTTGACAACTAACTCATGTTTCAATTCTGTATTCTGAAAATTTGAAGCTTCTGAAGCAGGAATCTGGATCTGAAGAAATCTGGAAGAGGTCATGTTTGGTGAGTGGGGAGGGAGATAGTACTGTGGTTCATCCTGAATCTCTTCTCCCCCTTCTTCTGTACCCAGACTAGCTCCTTCCACAGACTGTCAGCATCTCAATCCCCTTGACTGGCAAATGAGCAATGATTATGGTTCTCTAACTCCCCAATTGCACATTATGACAACCATCTCTTCCCTGATGTTTGTCCTCTGGCACTGTGATTCCGCCACGCACCACTGTCCACATCATCTCACCCCACAGTGTAAGTCATAATAATCTGGATTGCTTTATTTCATGCCTCCTTCCAGCCCCTTCTCAGATTTCAGAATCCCCTGTGCAAGTCATGATTCAGCTTCAACCCTCCATATATCCCCCTGACACACAGAGCCTCATGGAGCCTCAACAACTGATGTGAAAACACTGGCCTCCCAGATCTCCCTACTCACGGTAAGAAGCAGTGAGCTGCAGTGAGAACCCACTGCTTGTGGATCAGGGTCCCCAAGCATAGCTCAGCCTCTGAGTTCAGAAAAACCACAAAGGATGCGTTGTCAGTGTCTCTGTTCACCCAGCTTGTTTGCTTGACTTCCTGATCTTGTGCTGATGTTGCGATTACAGTGGTTAGAGTTCCTGCCCCAGGGGAGGAAAGGAAGACAATCACACAGACCTGGGGGATGTTCAGGTATTGGAAGTCTACAACCTTTTAGGTGAAAGTGACTTAAAGTGGTCAAGGTCCAGGTGTGGTTGACCCACTTCCAGTTCCCTCTCGTTTCCCTCCTACAGTCCTCTGTATTTGTGTCCTCCTTCCTCACTCTCCTTCTTCCTGATTCTTCTCTGTTTTCTCCAAGTTTCCTTCATAGCTGCACAGCAAAACTCTCTTTTGCTGACCCTGTACACTGATCCTGTCTAAATCTTCTGCACCCCAGGGTTGGAGGGAAGTCCTTAGGCCCTGCCTAGCTGCTGCTATCCTAGCAGACCCCCAGACCCTTGACCCTGAAATCTTCACTATTCTCCTAGTGACCTCTCCTCCCCTCTTAGCCAGCTCTGTTTCTTCCACTTTTCTGCAATATAATCATGTTTTCACATTTTAGGTGGAAATTGGAAATGATACTCACCAGCTGCTGTGAGAAGGGTGAATACCGGGCAGAAGTGCATCATTTCTGTCTTGATACCTGGTCTTTAACGTGATCTTTAAATGGGAAGTCCTGGGGAGGGAATGAAGCAATACAAGAGAACTATTAACCAGTCTGACATCCAGGAGCTTTTGCAGAATGCCCAAGGGAGCAAGGTGCTCTGAGAATGACATCTGAACATAGAAAGACAGCCAGGCCGGGTTCTCTACAGATCTATCTTTCCATCGCAGCCTTGGAAATGATTCCAAGAGGAGAGATCTGACCCCCAGTAGAATGGACTGCTGGCCAAGGGCTTTGCTCATTGTCGGCACAGAGAAATCAATCTGTATTACCTTACTATTCTCTCCAGTATTACTTAAACCTCTTGATTCTCTTGGGTTTACTGACCTGTCCCCACTTAATGTGGCTGATATCCCCCTCTCGGTGTGACATTTATGTGTCTTCAGCTTAGAAATTAGCTGCTCCTTCTTTGAACTACAGATCCTTCTCACTGGCTCCTCTGAGCCCTACCCCATGTCACACTGACCCCTGCCCTCATGTCACACTGGCTTCACTCCCGTGTCATCCTCTCCCTATGTCACACTGCCCTCAGCCCACATCTTCATCCTCCCGACTAACCTCTTTCTCAATGTTTGCAGGACAGGTCAGAGACTGAGGTCAGAAGGCAGGTCTCCTACTCAGGCTCAACAGGGAGGTCTCTCAGAGTGAAGTCAAGAGGAATGGAACAGAAGGTATCAGTTTTTCTTGTAGAACAAACTTCCTCAAAAACATAATGATATAAAGCAAAATGGTGGGACTGGAACAATAGCCTAGTGGCTAAAGTCCTTGCTTTGCATGTGCCTAGATCCTAGTGTCCCATCCAGCTCCCTGCTTGTGGCCTACAAAAGTAGTTGAGGACAGACAAAAACCTTGGGACCCTGCATCTGGTAGACCCAGAAAAAGCTCCTGGCTCCTGCTTTCGGATTTGCTCAGCTCTGGCCCTTGTGGCCACTTGGGGAGTGAATCAGCAGAGAGAAGATCTTCCTGTGTCTTCTCCTTTCTGTATATCTTTAAAATAAATAAATAAATATTGTATCTTTTAAAAAGATTAAAAAATAAAACAAAATGACAGCCAACTGTTGGTTTATATTTCTGTGAATTTCCAGTGTGGGATGGGCCCAGTGAGAAGTTCTGCAGGGTGAGCTGGCAGCCAGTGGTTCCATGCACATGGCTGCTTGGGGATAGGAGTAACTGGTTCAAGTGTCAACATCATCCAACAGGCTAGACCTGGATCATTATTTATTTGATGGTATACTTCCTGAGATCAGCAGAATGACAAGCCGCAATGTCTAAGCAGCTTTCAAACCTCTTCATCATCATGTTCGCTGATTCCCATTGGTCAAAGCCAATTGTATGGCCAGCTCACATGTGCAAGAGTCCAACTTTCAGTGGGAGAATGTGAGAAATCATGTTTCAAGGACATAGGAGAGGGGGAAAAATTTGTAACCGCTTTTTTCTCAACATTTTTGCTATGTATATTTGCAAACACAGAAAAGAAAGTTTGAAAATTAAAAAAAAAAAACCTTGTTTAATGATTACACACATACCCACCATCCAACTTCTTCAACTCATGTTTGGCTAAATTTGCTTTATCACATATCTCTCATTTATAGCAGTAGCCATTGTTTCTAATATTGAATCTACCACAGAGAGTAAGCAGCTCATCATCTTGACCCCCTAAGGCTGGCTTCCTGTCCCACTCACTGACAGCTTCCATTTGCCTCCATCCCCACTCTCATAGCTCTATTGAGGTTAACCTTCACAGCTGCCACCTTCACCAGGGGACTCCTCGGTTTTTGTAGAAGCTTCCAAGCCAGGCTTCCTTGGCCAGCTGTCTCCTCCTCTGTCCCACTGGCCATACTCACTCCTTTTCACTGATTGTGCTCTTGCTCTTATGGCATTTCCTAATGTCCATGGTGCCACACCCAAACTTCTACGCCTGACTGCCAAGGCCCACAGTCATCTGGCTTTAATGACACTTGACTCCAGGATTATGACATAACGTTCATGGACAATCTTGAAAGTAGCAGCCTGTATGCATAGGACAACTTGTTGGCACAGCGCATGCTCTCTGTTTTTCTTTCTCTCTGTCTCTCTCTCTCTCTCTCCCTCCTCTTTCTTGTTCCATTGTGCCATAGCTCCCTTTTATAAATTACCTGTAGTTTTGGCTTTTATCTCTCTCTCTCTTAAAAAAAAAGATTTATTTTATCTGAAAATCAAAATTACAGAAAAAGAGAGAGGGAAGGACAAATAGTCACAATGGTCATAGCAGGTCTGGTCCACAAGCTGGGAGCCAGGAGCTCCTTCCTGGCCTCCCACAAGGATGCAGGGGTCTTTGGGCCATCCTACACTACTTTCCCAGGCCACTAGCAGGGCAGTGGAGCATCTGGGACTTGAACTGGCACCCCTGTGGGATGTTGGTGCCACAGATGGAAGCTTAGCTTGTTATGCCACAGCGGCAGCCCCCGTCCCTCTTTCTTAGTAGGAATAGAAATTAGTATTTTGGCAAGTCAATTCAAGTTATTTGAAGCAACATTAATCTGTTCTCACAAAGATTATGTTGGGCATAGACGGATGACTGTTATCTCCTAGGATGGGACAGCCTTGTCAGGACCAGACAGGTGAAGTGCATGAGGATGACCCAGGGCTGCTGCACGGCATCTGTGGGGTCTTAGAGGCAAGCATCAACTTCTGCATTCCCCCCCAAGGATGCACTCTTGCTTTTAAATTTACTGCCTTAATGAGGGAGCAAATCCATTTCAGACGCTTCTTTTGATCTCCCTTATTATAATAATGTTTATTCCCCAGTACAAGGAATCAGTGCAGAAGCTCTGCCACTTACCAGTTATATCCATTCCAATTATATGCAGGGGAGAGAAATGTTGCTTTCCTACTTATCTCCAAGATACTTATCATCATCTGACCTACTGTGTGCTACAATGCTCACTGTGTTATCTGTCTCCTCAATGGACATCGTCTCTATAAAGGCAACCATTTTGACTATTTTAAATGGACTTACTCCCAGTGACCACAAAATGCCTAATACATCATAAGCACTTTATAGTATTAGCACCTTGTAGACCCTCAGGAAACATTCGCTGAGTGAAAGAATGAATGGTGTCAGAATCTCAATATGAATGTCCCTTAGATTTTATTTCACCCCTCCCAGAAAATGTGAATCAAAGTGTGAATCATTCATCTTGAAGCTGATTAGGAAAAGGTTTCCCCAAGAATCTCGCAGATGACCAGTGGCCTGGAGTCTGCCACGATGGAGCATAGTGTGTGGGTGAGGGGCTGAGAAGGCAGGCCACTGTTTTTGTATGTTTCTTTGTTTCAGGAACACCATTTCGAGGGGCTTAGCTTTTATAGCTTTCACTTTTCCCAATGCGGGTTCATGTAATTCATTCTTGAACATTTTCCAGCGGTAATTATTGATATTTGAGTATCAAGGGTGCACACACACACACACACACACACACACACACGCAAATATCTCTCAAGAACATCAATTAATTCTCAAAGACATTACAGTGTAAGTCATGGGTTGCAGCTAGTTTGGCTTCTTAGAATTTAATTGCTTGTTTGAAAAACATTTGAATTAGTAACATAATATTTGAATGCTTTTAGGCTGTTTTTTTTTTGTTTTGTTTTAATGAAAGTATCTGGATAATGCCACTTTTATGGATTCCTCAAAGTGGATGCTAATTTTATCACTTTGTTTTTAAAAGATTCATTTATTTATTTGAAGGGCAAAATGATAATGGAGAGTTCTTCCCTCCATTGGCTCGCTCTAGATGTCTGCTGCAGCTAGGCCTGGACCAGGCCAAAGTCAGGAACCAATTCTCCCAGACAGATGTTAGGAAACCAAACACTTGGACTGTCATCTGTTGCTTTCACACATATTAACAGGAAGCCAAGTTGAAAACACAGAGATGCTGAACTTGAAATAGCCACTCTGATATGGATGTGGGCTTCCCAGTAGAGGCTTAACCCACAATGCTCACCTGGAACATTCATTTTAGACTGAGAATGTGCCATCTTCAACATTCCTTACCTAGCCTTCATATTAAGACTAAATGACACCTGTCTTTCATCAATGTGTGAATGGGGCCATTTTTCTTAGAATTAAGAAGAAAGCAATGTCATTTTTATACACAACTCTTTTAAAAATTAGAAAAGATGAAATAAAGAGAAGCTACATATGAAAAAAATGGGGAGTGTTTTGAAAAGGTTTGGAGGACAAAGACCATTCCTGGGGATTTAGTAATTTAGCATTCTTACACATTTAATACAAAATAGTATATATCTAAGTCCATAGGACGCAATTCAAGAAATAAAAACCTTGCATTTGGGCCTGGCGGCGTGGCCTAGCGGCTAAAGTCCTCACCTTGCACATGCCAGAATCCCATATGGACACTGGTTCTAATCCCGGCAGCTCCACTTCCCATCCAGCTCCCTGCCTGTGGCCTGGGAAAGCAGTTGAGGACAGCCCAAAGCTTTGGGACCCTGCACCTGTGCGGGAGACGCGAAGAGGCTCCTGACTCCTGGCCTCAGATCGAAGCAACTCTAGCCACTGCGGCCGTTTGGGGAGTGAATCAATGGACAGAAGATCTTCCTCTCTGTCTCTCCTCCTCTCTGTAGATCTGACTTTCCAATAAAAATAAAATAAATCTTTACCAAAAAACAAACAAACAAACAAACAAAAAAACCGTTGAATTTGCCATCCTGGCTCTAGTCCAATCAAGAGAAATGAAGAGTATATTCCACCTGCTTTGTAATTTTTAATGTCCTCCTTCTCCATAAAATACTTATAATTCCAAATATTATGAAAAGCATTATAACTTTTTTTTATTTTGTCTCTTTGCCCCCAACACACATACAGACTCACTTCATCTTCCAAATTTTGCCCTTCAGGAATAGAAACATAAAGGGATTCATTGCTGCTTCATATGCTTCCTTAGCTGTTGCTTCCTTGTCTATACAAGGGAAAGCTTCACATTTGGGGCTCAGAAAAAAACCTCATTAAAGTCTTAGCTAAGGGGCTGGCACTGAGGCCTAGCCAGTTAAGCCTCTGCTTGTGATGCCAGTATCCCTATAAGCACTGATGTGAGTCCAAGGTCTCCACTTCCCATCCAGCTCCCTGTGAATGGCCTGGGAAAGCAGAGGAGGAAGGTCCAAGGCCTTGGGTCCCTGCATTCCCATGGGAGACCTGGCTCCAGCCCAGCCCAGTGGCTTCTGGCCATTGTAGCCATTTGGACAGTGAACCAGCTAATGAAAGAGCTCTCTCTACTCCTCTCTCTTCTTCTCTGTCTGAAACTCTACCTTAAAAAAAAAAATCGGACCCGGCGCGGTGGCACAGTGGTTAAGGTCCTCACCTTGCACGTCTGGGATCCCATATGGGCGCCAGTTCTATCCCAGCAGCCCCGCTTCCCATCCAGCTCCCCTGCCTGTGGCCCGGGAAGGCAGTCGAGGACGGCCCAAAGCTTTGGGACC